CCGACCGGAGACCTCCCCAGCTGTGCTGTGGACGGGGAAGGTCGGCGATGCATCTGCATTCCGTGTCTGGGGGTCTTGGGCGTTTGTCCGCGACTTGTCTGTGGACAATCTGTCCCCTCGTGCTGCTCCCTGTGTCTTCCTTGGCTTCCCCCCCGACGCACCAGGGTGGCAGTTCTACCACCCCTCCTCTCGTCATTATCTGTCCTCCCAGGACGTCACGTTCGACGAGTCAGTCCCCTTCTACCGCCTCTTCCCCTACCGCACTCCTTCCCTACCCCCGCCACCGGACTTCCTTGTGCCAGGTCCCCCCCCGGTAGACCCCCTCCCCCCTCACGTTCCTGCCCCTTCAGGTGTGTCCCAGGTAGACGCCGTCGAGCCGGTCGAGGTTGATGGTGACTCTGGTCCTGCTGAGGGTGCTGAGTCTGGGGGTGCTGACTCTGGGGGTGCTGTGCGCGTGGGTGCTGAGCCTGGGGGTGACGAGCCTAGGGGTGTTGAGCCTGGGGGTGCTGTGCGCGTGGGTGCTGAGCCTGGGGGTGCTGCGCCTGGGGGTGCTGCGTCTGGAGCTGGTGCGCCTGGGGGTGCTGAGTCTGGGGGTGCTACGTTGGGAGCTGCTGAGCCTGGGGGTGCTGCGTCTGGGGCTGCTGAGCCTGGCTGTGCGGATCCTGCGGCCGCTAGACCTCCCCTTGTGGCGTCTGACGGTGCTGGGCCTGGAGGTTCTCCGGGTGCTCCGTCTCGGCGAGAGCCCCTCTCTCCACAGGAGCTACGCGAGTGGTTCGCTCGCCGCTGGAGGCGTACTGCTGGTGCTGGAGCTTCTTCGGCCGCTGCGGGTGCTGGTGCCGCCGGTCCTGGAGCTGCTGGACCTTCGGGTCCTACTGGAGCTGGAGCTGCTGAGGGCGCTGGTGCTGAGACTACTGCTGTCTGTCGTAGCGGTGGTCCTGCTGCTGGTGCGGCTGGAGGTCCCGCTGCTGGAGGTGCTGTTGGCGCTGGTGCCGCCGCTGAGGGTTCTGGTGCTGTCCGTGCTGTGCCTGGAGTCCCCGCGCGGCCTTGGCCGTACTTCGTTCCGCTTCTGCAGCAGGTTCTTGGTCTTCCTCCGTCTGTCGAGTGTCCGCGGTCTGTCCAGACGCCGTCACTCTTAGAGCCAGCCTCCCCACTGCCTGCTTCCTTTCCTTACACTGGTCCTACTGGAGGTCTTGCTGAGCGTCGTGAGCCTGCGTCTCGTCCCGCGTCGCCTGTTCGTGCTGCTCGCGCTAGTGGTCGCAGTTCGCGTCAGCGTCCTCCTCCTGTCCCTGGCACGCACCGGATGTCTCTGCGTCCGTCCACTGCTCCTCTGCGTGCCCCTTTGCCTTCTCCTCCTGAGTCCTCTCTTCCTGCGCTTTCCGACCCCGAGTCGGACTCTCTTCGTGCTGCTAGTCCTAGTGTCACGCGTCTTCTTGGTACTGTTGTCACTAACCCCTCTTTTGAGTCCACTGCTGCGTCTGCTCTTGTCGCTGAGCTCGTCAACTTTGCTGCTCGCTGTCGTCTAGACTACGCTGCTAGTCTTCTTGCTGAGTCTGCGTCTGTCTGTCCTCCGTCCGTCGGGGGTGAGTGTGCTCTTGGCACGGACGTCCTTGAGGACATGCAGGAGGAGTTCCAGTGTCTGGCTGCTGCTTCACCTCATCTCGCGCCTGTACTGCTTGCCCCTGAGGGAGACCCGGATGCACTAGACATCCCGACTCCGCGTTCTTACGCGGAGGCCGTAAAGGGTCCCTACTCCTCTCAGTGGCAGGCAGCTATGGATGGAGAGATGGCTTCCTGGAAGTCCACAGGCACCTACGTTGACGAGGTTCCCCCTTCCTGGGGCGAACATCGTCAGTGGCATGTGGATCTTCAGGGTGAAGCGGCCGCCTGGCTCTCCACCTGTCTTCAAGGCGCGGTACGTTGCTCGTGGCTTCAGTCAGCGACAAGGAGTTGACTACTTTCAGACCTTCTCTCCCACCCCAAAGATGACTACTCTTCGGGTGCTGCTGCACATAGCCGCTCAGCGCGACTACGAGCTTCACTCTCTTGACTTCAGCACTGCTTTCTTGCAGGGCAGCCTGCACGAGGAGATCTGGCTGCGCCGTCCGCTTGGCTTCACTGGGACTTTCCCTCCTGGGCCTCCTAGTGTGGGGGGGTGTCAGTAGATCTGCACTGTGGATGCCCGATTTTTCCTGGAGAGGGTTATAGGCGCGTTCGCCTGGGGGGTTATGGGCGCACTGACCCGCTACTAAAACAAGCCCTTTTATCCCAATGGTCTAGTGGTTAAGATTCTGACAGGGTGGTTAGGAAGGCAACTTTGACTTATGGATTAGGGTGGCTAGAAGTTTCTAGCATGGGTTGCAAATGTTGCAACACCTAGGCAATATCCAACTAGATTGGATTTTGCATGTGACACCTCAAGGACCTCATGATGAGGGTTGCATCCTTGCTGCTAGGAAGGTTCCTACCATCCTTCCCTAGCTCTTGGAGAACCCCTTCCCTCTCATGGTTCTCTTGGAGGTTCCCAACTCCAACTTTCTATGCCCTAATGTTTGTACTTCCTCCACCATTCTAGTCATGCGGCTGCTGGACGTTTTTACTTGGTTCTCACTCTCTAGACCATCTTAACGGTTGATTGAACTTGGAGATGGTAGCTAAGCCTAAGGCGCAACTTCCTACCCAGCGGATTTGCGTTTAGTTGAGTAATGAGTTCGTTGTAAGCTCTCAAAGTGACGGATCCTGAACAACAGGGACAACATCTGAGTGGTCCTTCAAGATTGAGAATCCACTATGACTTGTTGGAGGTGATGAAAGGAATGGAGAAGCGTCCCGAGAACGACCGGGAGAAGTGTCCGTGGGTGCGGAAGAGCGCACAATGCTTTCTTATTTGGGTAAGCGTTGGGGAGGAGCCAGACCGTTCACATCAAACCATTCAAGCGTGAACCACAAAAGGGAACCAGGACATGGGTTGCTCTGAGGGGTGAACATGCTCTTGTAATAGCGGCGGTAGCGGTGGTGTTTGAGCATCAAATGGCGGCACTACGAATTGAAGAAGATGAACCGGTTGAAGAAGGGGTGCAGCAATTATTTGACCTTTTGACATGGCTTAAAGGAGCAGATCTAAGAAGAGGACCTTCTTGCAGAGTCATGGTCCTCGCTCATCATCAACTTGAATCATGATCTGCCCCACTTTTCGCTCGAGGACTTCAAGAGGCTTTCCGCTGTCTTGAATTGACAGGTCCAGATGGTGCGGGGCAGCATGCATCGACTGTGGCTATGGCTGAGGAAGGGAAAGAGGACAAGGAGGAGGCAGATGTGGTAGTAGAAACTCCAATAGCGGTCGCGAATATGGCAGATACAACAGCGACAACAAGAAATGTGTGGCCGATTTGATGACGAATACCATTATTGCCACAAGAGCAGACACATGTAGTGTGATTGCTACAAACTGTGGAGATTAACTCTACAACGGTGGGAGCTAGACTATGGGGTAGGCACGAGTTGTCAAAGTGATCGTAGCTCTGTCTGTGTTCTGTCTACGGGGTAGCTCTGTCAGAGGACTTGTATGTTGACAGGGCAAAATAGCAAGAGTCTCATTAGGGGAATTGAAAATACAGAATTCTGAATGAAGCAATAGCCAAAGATTTACTACATTACATGCAAGGTTTGCTAGTGCATAGGCAGATCGACCGCCAGCACAACAAAGTCATCGACCTGCCAATGTAGCAAGTCTGCGGCCCGCCAACTCAGCTCGTGCACGGCTTGCAAACGCAGCAGAATGGCGGCCTTCTAACGATACACCCGTGCGGCTTGCCAACACAGCACACGTGCGGCTTGCCAATGTTGCATCCACAGCTGATTGTAAGCGCGTGTGCAAGCACCTACTTCGCAAGTGATTGTAGACAGTTACGCACGAAGTGCAGTGTTGCGCACATTGCACAGGTTGTTAGCCACATGCCGACGTATGCACTTGATGAGCCACGTTGACCACGTGATGCCACATCGGTCGACTTCGCCACTGGAACCTCGACGACGTTCGCGCACCTCCACAGAACCTCATGGAGAATGTAACTCTGTCGACCGGGTAAAGTCCCCGGCAACCCTGCAGGACGATAACCTTCGCCCTCATCGGATGACGACCTTCATCATCGTGGCTGAATCAACCTTCGTTGTCGTGGGTGGACGACCTTCGTAGACCACCTTCCTTGACAACCTCGATCAAAGTTTTGGCTCCTCATTGGTCAAAATTAGGGCACATTCGAACCAGCCAAAACTCTCTTGTGCACTCGCGACGGTGCGCAGGGTCAGACGCGACCCTGCGTAGATGAACCCCCGCTAACATCTGCACTAGCTGCGCCACTTGCACATGTGCACGAGACGTTTGCGTTACACTCGCGGGTGCTTTAGTTATTCTCGCACGGGTTCCATAGTACACCTCGTGTACAGGCAGCCCTTCACCTTGTACATGAGGCCCCTGTCCCAACCTACAGAGGAGCGACGGTGCGTAGAAACAGCGATGGGTCAGCAGTAGAAGGAGCAAACCCAAGAGCCACAAGCGTAGTCCTCAGTGTGTCGTGCCACTCACGAGGTGCCTGGCGGAGACCGTAGACTGGCCGCCGGAGGCTCCACTAAGAACCAGGAGGAAACAACCCAGTGAAGCCAGGTGGGCGGCGCAACGAGATCTCCTCATACAGGCTGCCCTGTAGGAAGGCTGTGCTAAAGTCAAGAGAGTGAAGCTCGTACTCACGCTGAGCGGCGACGTGCAGCAGCACCCGAAGAGTGGTCATCTTCGGGGTTGGGGAGAAGGTCTGGAAGTAGTCAACTCCCTGTTGCTAACTGAAGCCTCGAGCAACGTAACGCGCCTTGAAGACAGGCGGAGAACCCGGCGGCCGCTTCACCCTGAAAATCCACATGCCATCGACAATGTTCGCCCCACGTGGGGGAACTTCGTTGACGTAAGTGCCTGTGGACTTCCAGGAAGCCATCTCTGCGTCCATGGCCGTCTACCACTGAGAGGAGTAGGGACCCTCTATTGCCTCTACGTAAGAGCGCGGGGTCGGAATGTCTGGTGCATCCGGGTCTCCCTCAGGGGTAAGCAGCATGGACACGAGATGAGGTAAAGCAGCAGCAAAGGACTGGAACTCTTCCTGCCTGTCTTCAAGGATGTCCCTGCTAAGGGCACACTCACCCCCGACGGACGGAGGACAGACAGACTCAGACTCAGCAACAAGACTAGCGGCGTAGTCTAGACGACAACGAGCAGCAAAGTCGACAAGCCCAGCAACAAGAGCAGACGCAGCAGTAGACTCAAAGGAAGGGTCAGTGAGAACAGTGGCCAGGAGACGCGTGATAGTAGGACTAGCAGCACGAAGGGAGTCAGACTCCGGGTCCAAACCGACAGGAAGGGAGGACACAGGAGGAGACGGCAGAGGGACACGCTGTGGAGCAGTGGAAGGACGGTGTGCCATCTGGTGCGTGCCGGGGACAGGAGGAGGACACTGACGCGAACCACGACAACGAGTGCGAGCAGCGGGAACAAGCGACGCAGGGCAAGACGCAGGCTCACGACGCTCAGCAAGACCTCCAATCGGACCAGTGTAAGGAGAAGGAGTAGGCAGTGGGGAGGCGGGCTGTAGCTGTGACTGCGACTGAACCGGCGGTGGACACTCTAAGAGAGGAGTAAGACTAGTAGAAGGCGGGAGACCAAGAACCTGCTGAAGGAGTGGAACGAAGTACGGCGGCGGCCGTGCAGCACTACTAGAACCAGCAGAGACAGCACCAGCACCCCCAGCGTCAGCTCCAAGTTTTGCACCACCACCAGCCTCAGCAGCACCTCCAGCAGCTCCAGCAGCGCCAACTCCAGCACCTCTAGCAGACCCAGCTCCAGCAGGACCACCAGAAGTCCCAGTAGCTCCTGTAGCGCCAGCTGCAGCACCTCCAACAGCACCTGCTCCAGCAGTATCGCCAGCTCCAGCACCTCCAGCAGCTCCAGCTCTAGCACCACCACCAGGCCCAGCAGCTACAGTACCTCCTGTAAGAGCACCTCCGGGACCAGTGGCTCCAGAACCCCCAGCATCTCCAGTAGTAGCAAGACCCCCATCTCCAGTAGCACCACTAGCTCCAGCAGCACGGCTCCAGCGCCGAGTAAACCACTCGCGCAGCTGGTGTGGAGAGAGTGGCTCCCGCCGGGACAAGGCACCCAAGGGACCTCCAGGCTCAGCACTCCCAGGCTCCACACGCGCAGGCTCAGTACCCACAGGCTTCGCACCCTCAGACTCAGCAACCCTAGGCTCAGCACCCCCAGACGCAGTACCCCCAAGCTCAGCAATCCCAGGCTCCGCACGCTCAGGCTCAGCACCCCCAGGCTCAGCACCCCAAGACCCAGCACCCCCTGGCTCAGCACCCCCAGACCCGACACCCGCAGGCTCAGCACCCCTAGCAGCACCAGATTCAATAGCTACCTCAACAGGCTCGACTGCGTCTACCTAGGACACACTTGAAGGGGCAGGACCCTGAGGGGGGTGGGGGTCTACCGGGGGAGGACCTGGCGCTAGGAAGAGCGGCAGGGGGGGGAGAGGGGCAGTGCGGTAGAGGAAGAGACGGTAGTAAGGAACCGACTCGTCAAACGTGACGTCATGAGAGGATAGAACACGGCGCGAGGTGGGGTGGTAAAACTGCCAACCAGGCGCGTAAGGGGGGAAGCCAAGGAAGACGCAGGGAACAGCACGGGAGGAGAGCTTGTCCGCAAACAAATCGCGGACAAAAGCTCGAGATCCCCAGACACAGAACGCAGACGCATCGCCAACCTTCCCCGTCCACCGTAGAGTAGGTGTGGTCTCCGGCATGTAGACCCGGGGCTGGAGGTTGAGCTGATGCGCAGCGTACTGAACCGTGAACGGCCGTACTGAGCAGCCGCATGAATCATGAACCTACAAGCGACGTCCATGACCATGCCAATGCGGCGCTCAGCAATCCCATTTTTCTGTGGAGAGGCCGGAAGCGTGAACGTCTGGCAGATGCCCTCGGCACAACATAACGCTGACATCGAAAAGGAAGGTCCGAGCCGAAACTTTTACTGAGCTGGCAACGGGCAGCGTGGATCCAGGCAATCAACACTTTACTGACCTTATCCTTGCGGTGCAAGGGGAAGACTGTGGTGTAATGAGAGTAGTTGTCAGCGACCAGCAAAAAGTAACGCTCGTGACCCTGTCCACGGACGCGGGCTGGGCCCCACACGTCCATGTGAAGAGTCTGCAGGGGAGCCTCCGTCAGAGGGAACTCGGAGGAGTGAGGAGCAGCGCGCTGCCGCCCCTCAATGCAAGGAATGCAGGTAGGGGCAGGCCCCGGGGAAAGGGGAGGGAGAGACCGGGGAAGACCAGTGACAAGGACACGAGAGGCCATGCCTCGGAGACGAGGTAGGGAGGGGTGAGCAAGGCGGTGGTGCCAGAGGAGAGTCTGGTGAGATAGGAGGCGATACGAGCAGGGGGCAAACTCAGGACCAGACTAGGACGCTGCAGCAAAGACCTGACCAGACGCAGCTACCTGACCAGACGCAGTAACTGGAGGAGACACGGTAGTCACGGTGTACAGGTTGGACCCAGGCTGACGAGTAAACGTGGCCAGATGCCGGCCCGTCCGTGTACACGTACAGTGGGTCACCCGCTGACCTCCAGGAGTGAACTGGTCAACCCACACGTCCTGAAGGTCAGCTCCACTCACCAAGTTAGTGGAGAACGAGGGGAGGTGGAGACCGGACGGGACTGCCAGACGCAGCAGAACTGTGGAGGATTGCGCAAGGACCGGACCCCTAGAGGGGTTAGCCAGAGAGACTGCCATTGGCCGGCAAAGCGGCGTGAGTGTAGTGCGGTCGCGAAAGGCACCTGAGTCAATGGTGAAAGTGTGCAAGACCTGAGCCGACGCGGTACCTGAGAGAGAAGCCTCACCAGCACCTGGAGCAGCAAACTCACTAACACCTACAGCAGCAGCCTCAATGCCCAGGTCAGGTGGAACACACAGGTAACAGTCACCCTCAGTACTAATTGTCACAGCATACATAGCAGCAAGGATAGCATCATAATCAAGATCAAAGATAATAACCCCCAACCTAAGCAGATCACCCCAGCGAGGGAGCTCAGTGGCGTCAAGAAACTCTGCATGCCAAGCGTTAGTCAGACGGCTGAAGCAGCAGTGCGTAGCGTGTGGCAGCTCGCACGTCTCCCCACTGCGCTCACCGGTGTGGAGAACGTAAGTGCAGGGACCAGCACCCCCAGACCTCCCACGCCCAGCGTACCACTTACAAAGCTGCTGGGGTGACGGGGTCTCACGATAACTCTACTGCTGCCGGCGCTAACCACCGCCAAAGCCTCCCCGCTACCTAGCTCCACCTCCACCAGCACCACCGCCGCCTCCACTCCCACTGCCGCTGCCGCCGCCGCCTCCACCTCCACCACCGCCTCCACCTCCACCACTGCCACCGAAGCCCCCACTCCCGCCGCCACCCCCACCTCCACCCCCACCTCCTCCACCGCCACCACCGCCGCCACCACCGTCCCCCCCGCTGTCACCTCCACCACCCTTGCCCCCCTTGTCCTTGCTGCTGCTTTATCTCCCACTAGGAGCAGACGCAGCACCGACCGACTCGGTGCCAACGAGGTCAACAGCAACAACGAAAACAACAGAGGGCAAGAGGGGGATAGGGGAGCACCCCTCAAAGAAAGGGGCATGAGGGTCACCACGAGAGGCTCCTGCAGCAACTATACTCTTCTCAGCTGCAAGGAGGCGCTCCTTGAGGAGGTCAACGGTGAGCGTGGTGGGGCAAAGGGAGAGGAAGTGGTCCTTGACCGAGCGAAGGGAGTCAGGGAGTCGGGTGACGAGGTAGTAGAGGGTGATGTACATAGAGGGGGGGTTCTTGGCGCAGAACTCAGCAGGAAGCGCAGCGCGGTAGCGGGTGTTACTAGTGCGGAGGTGGGTAATGAGGTCAGCGACTCTGGCAAAAGCGGCGAGGTCAGGGAACAGGTACGGCAGCATGAGGCGGCTGAGGGCAGCACAGGCAGAGGAGGAGTAGCGAGCAACAACAGCGTCATACAAAGTCTTAGCAGTCTTTTACTAACTAAAGTGCGCGCTCTCAGAAGACGGCAGGTGACTACGAAAAGCAAGACGAGTAGCAACATCACGCGTGGTCCACTGTGAGCAAACTACACTGTCAGCATTGGCAGCAGGTGCAACAGAGACGCCGCACATGTGATCGAACGGTGAGACTCCGTCCCTAGAGTCGCACTGCAGAAAGAGCTGCAGGTCATCGACCCAGACCTCAAAATCAACCGCTTGACCCTCAGAATTGAAGGTAAGAACACTAGGGTTAGCCATGGCGGGAGTAGCAGTAGCAGTAGCTGATGCAGCAGCACTAGCAGTAGCAGTTGCAGTTCAGCAGGGCGGCGCGGCTCGGCAGGGCGTTGTGGCTCGGTAGGGCAGCGCGGCTTAGCAGGGCCGCGTGGCTCGGCAGGGCGACGCGGCTCGGCAGGGCGGCGCGGGTGTGGGGGTGCGCTTATTAGGGGCGGGAGTAGGGCAGGGCAGGGGCCGCGACGAGCTGGCAGGGAAGGTGGGGCTGCAACGAGGCGGCAGGGCAGGGCCGCGACTTGGAGGCAGGGCAGGGCCGGAACTGGTAGGGCAGGGGCCGCAATGAGGCGGCAGGGTAGGGCCGCGACTAGGCGGCGGGAGAGCAGGACCGCGACCGGGCAGCAGTAGGGCAGGGCCGCATCACGGCGGCTGTAGGGGAGGGCCGCGTCGAGGCCGCGGCAAAGCAGGGCCGCGACGAGAGGCGGCAAGGCAGGGCCGCGTGGGCGGCGAAAGCAGGCCGCAACAGGCGGGTAGGGCAGGGCCGCGACGACGGCTGAGGCGGGCCGCTAAGGGCGGCGACTACGGCTAGGGCGGGCCGCGGTGGTGAGAAAAGGGCCTCGACGGGCAGTTGGGGTAAGGGCGCGACGGGCCGCAAGGGCAAGGTCGCTAAGGGCTGACGGCGCAGGTGAGGCAGGCACGACGCGCGCTTCGGGCAGGGCAGTTAAAAAAAAAAACTAACACGGTGGGCCTTAAAAAAAAAAAACGTTCCCACTAGGGAACCTGCTCTGAAACCATGTCACAAAGTAGGAAACGAGAACGACTAGAAACAGGACAGTACAAGGTTTGTATAGGCAAAACCTAACTGTACTGTACCCCATAAGGAGTGCCCCACTACAGCCTACAATATAGTTCAGACAATGGCAGCCCCTCCGAAGAAGAACACGTAGCCGCCCGTTCTCGTCCAGTTCCGCTTGTCGCCAGCGTCGTCGGCGTCCACGTAGCCAACCAAGTTCAGCGACTCTGCTCCACCGCCAAACTTCAGGGCGGTGTCACGGGTGTCGGCGAGGTAGGCGAGGCAGTGATTGACCTCGCGCCAGTGTTGGTCACTCCTCACTATCAGGCCGCTCTCCAACTTGCTACATGTGATGCTACCATTTGCATTCACGTTTGACTGCCTCCCATCATATGTTCGTGTGTTGCATGCGTGGTGTGAGCGTATGCAAGAATTTGTGTTCGATGTGGTTTGGATTGTTTGAGTGTGTGTGAATGTTATTTTTATGAAAATAGGAAAACAGGAATGGATGAACTATGAATGAAAGCAGTACAAATATGAAACCCTAACTGGGTTGTACCCCCTATGGGATACCCCACTACAGCCTACACAGCAGTATAAGCTATAGATATGTTCTGACACACCCCCATAGGCAAAGTGGGGGAGAACAAGGGGTCACAAGACCAGTCAAGCAAGACAAAGCAAAGCTCAGGGTGGATCACAAAGTCACCACACAGTCCGAGCACAAGAGCAAGGCCAAAGGCCAGTTCACAAGCAAGAGTACAGACATATATATAAAGCTAGACAAGCAAGAGCAGGTATATATATATGTCACAGTACAAGTGAAGTCAAGAGGAGAGCAAGTGAGGCAAGACAGGCACAAGACCCAGCTGGGTGCAGAAGCGCTGATGGTCACAAGGCGCAAGTGCCTTGGTGAACACATCAGCAGTGTTGGCCTCAGAGGCCACGTACGCAAGTCGCAACTGACCACGCTGCTGCAGCTCACGAGCAAGGAAGTAGCGGAGAGCAATGTGCTTCGTTCTGTGCTCCAAGCGCTGCTCTCGACACAAGGCCAGCATAGCCTTGTTGTCTACGTACAGCACTGGAGGAGAACGAGGCGGCTCTCCAAGGTCAGTCAGCAGGTAGGTGAGCCAGCGAAGCTCCTGTGCAGCCATGGCCCCGGCGTAGATCTCAGCCTCACAACTGGAGCCGAGAACCGAAGACGAGCGAGTAGACCGCCACGAGACAGAGCCGGAACCAAGGCTGAAGGTGTAACCCTGTGACGACCGCTGCGTAGCCTGGTCGTCAGCCCAAGAAGCGTCCGCGTGGCCGGTAAGGACCACTGGACTCCGCCCTCCAAGCACTAGCCCCATGCCTGACGTACTGCACAGGTAGCGCAATACCCTCTTCGCTGCAGCCATGTGCTCCGGTCTGTGTCTCCTAGGAGCAACATAGCGTGCAAGAATGCTCAGAGGGTATGCAAGGTCAGGTCGTGTGCAGGTCATCAGGTACATGAGGCAGCCAACAAGCTCCGCATACGGACCACTCGACTCTACGGACTCATCCGAAGGCAGAGCTGAGAGTGAGTGGCGAGTAGGCAGAGGAGTGGCCTGAGGCGAGGAGTACGTGAAGCCGAAGCGCTGAAGGACCTGCTGCACCATGTGTGACTGAGTCAAGGTAATGGTGCGGCGTGCTCTGTCCCGAGTGATCTGCAAGCCAAGGTAGCTCCGCAGTTCACCCAGGTCTGTGCACGTGTGTCTCTTCAACAGCTCGGACTTCACGTAGGCGAGTCGAGCAGTGTCCGCTGTGGCAAAGACCAGGTCGTCGACGTACACGAGGATGTAGAACGGCGGCAGGGAAGTGTCGGTGCGAAGAAACAGCGACGGGTCAGCAGTAGAAGGAGCAAACCCAAGAGCCGCAAGCGTAGTCCTCAGTGTGTCGTGCCACTCACGCGGTGCCTGGCGGAGACCGTAGACTGGCCGTCGGAGGCTCCACTGGGTGCCAGGAGGGAAAGTCCCAGTGAAGCCAGGTGGACGGCGAAGCCAGATCTCCTCGTGCAGGCTACCCTGCAAGAACGCAGTGCTGAAGTCGAGAGAGTGAAGCTCGTAGTCGCGCTGAGCGGCTATGTGCAGCAGCACCCGAAGAGTAGTCATCTTCGGGGTGGGAGAGAAGGTCTGAAAGTAGTCAACTCCCTGCCGCTGACTGAAGCCACGAGCAACGTACCGTGCCTTGAAGACAGGTGGAGAGCCCGGCGGCCGCTTCACCCTGAAGATCCACATGCCACTGACGATGTTCGCCCCAGGAGGGGGAACCGCGTCAACGTAGGTGCCTGTGGACTTCCAGGAAGCCATCTCTGCATCCATAGCTGCCTGCCACTGAGAGGAGTAGGGACCCTCTACGGCCTCCGCGTAAGAACGCGGAGTCGGGATGTCTAGTGCATCCGGGTCTCCCTCAGGGGCAAGCAGTACAGACGCGAGATGAGGTGAAGCAGCCGCTAGACACTGTAACTCCTCCTGCCTGTCCTCTAGGACGTCCGTGCCAAGAGCACACTCACCCCCGACGGACGGAGGACAGACAGACGAAAACTCAGCAACAAGACTAGCAGCGTAGTCGAGACGACAGCGAGCAGCAAAGTCGACGAGCTCAGCGACTAGAGCAGACGCAGCAGTGGACTCAAAAGAGGGGTCAGTGACGACAGTAGCAAGCAGACGCGTGACAGTGGGACTGG